CCACTCGCCGCTCACACTACCGACTCTCCCTTCTGCACCGCTGCCTGCATCCGCACCACCCTGCGCTGCGCGCTTCCGCACCCCTCCCTCTGATTCTTGTACCATGTTCGCGCGCATGCTCTCCCTCTTCTCCGCCCCAATCCTTCCACCCAACCGCGACCTCTCCGCCCACCCCGCGCCGCTCTCCTCTTCCGCCACCGTCCCCCATTCTTCCATGTCCATGTTCAAGTCCCAATGCAGCCTATCGTCCCGCAACATGCTGTTCTCCCCCGCACTCGCTCCTGACTCCTCCAAGCTCGCGCTTCCGCCTCGCTCCCCAGACCTCGCCTTCACCCACTCCTTCGCCCTCGGAACACCCCCCTCGCCATCGCCCCTCTCGCCGTCCGAAAACTTCCTCTTCCAACTCCTACCCGCCGCTGCCCCTCTCTCCCTCCCCACCTCCACAACTCCCTCTGATTCGCCTACTGCACCTCCCGTCCTCTGCACCGACGCGCCTACCACCTCCTCACGCGCCACCCCCGATCCCACGATGCCTTCTCCCTCTTCCTCCCGCCCATTCATGCTGCCCTCCCCATCCACTCCTGCCACTGCCGCTCCTTGAGCACCTACGTCACCTCTCCACCCGCTTCCCTCCTCCGCTGCCTTGCCGCCACCCGTTCTCCCATTCTCCCCCACATCCCTCCTCCCCTTCCCCTGCTCTACCTCCCCCTCGCACCCGTCCGCCGGGCCCGACTGCCCCGCCCCGACGCTTCCACCACACATCACACCCTCCCCTGCACCTGTTCTCCCACCGCACGCATCTGCCGCCCTGCTCTCCGCCTCCACGCATTGCCTCTCCCTCCCGCCCGCCTGCTTCTTTTCCCAATCCCCCTGCCTCACATTCTCACACACCATCAAACCTACCCCGCCTGCTTCGCCCACAAACGCCTGTGCATCCGCACCTCCCACGCCCTTCGCACTCCCGCCCGCCTTCCCTCCTCTCCCCCCATCCCAACCTTCACCACCCCCAACGCCCTCCTCCGCCGCTGCCTTCTCCGCATCTGCCTCTGGGCTTCCTGGTGAACTCGGAGGCGGAGGTGACGGCGATCTCACCACCTCCAGCTGTATCCTCCGCTTCTTGATCGGCACGTTTGCCGCCGCGTCGCTGAACCGCCGCCCCAAAAATGGCGACGACAACTGCAACAAACACTCCCCACCATGTCAGCGTCTGCTCTTCCAAACCATAACCCGCTCCTCCAACCCGCCCAACTGCTTCTCATCTGCACCCCATTCGTCTGTCCCTCCTCCTCCTCCTCCTCCCCTCCTCCCAGACACACAACCCTCCCATTCACAACGCACCCATCCTTTCTACGCGCTACCATCGCATCTACCCTCACTCTCGCGCGCGCCACCTCGTGTCCTCAACCGCCCATACTCAACCCCCACAGCATCTACCATACATCTCTACATGCTCACGCTCCACGACTACGACCCCACCATCCCCCCGCTCCTATCTCACCTAATCCCTCCACCCTGCCCACGCCCCACGTCT